AAGTCAAGGTATTGGAGTGGCCATCACAAAGCCCTGACCTCAATCCTATAGAACATTTGTGGGCAGAACTGAAAAGTGTGTGCGAGCAAGGAGGCCTACAAACCTGACTCAGTTACACCAGCTCTGTCAGCAGGAATGGGCCAAAATTCACCCAACTTATTGTGGGAAGATTGTGGAAGGCTACCCGAAATGTTTGACACAAGTTAAACAATTTAAAGGCAATGCTACCAAATACTAATTCAGTGTATGTAAACTTCTGATCCACTGGGAATGTGATGAAAGACCATTCTTGGTACACACTGGAAACTGTTGAGCATGAAAAACCCAGCAGCAGTGCAGTTTTTGACATACTCAAAACTTTGCGCCTGGCAGCTACTACCATACCCCGTTCAAAGGCACTTAAATATTTTGTCTTGCCCATTCACCCTCTGAGTGTCACACATACACAATCCATTTCCCAAGGCTTAAAAATCCTTATTTAACCTGTCTCCTCCCCTTCATCTACACTGATTGAAGTGGATTTAACAAGTGACATAAATAAGGGATCATAGCTTTCACCTGGATTCACCTGGTCAGTCTGTCATGGAAAGAGCAGGTGTTCCTAATGTTTTGTACAATCAGTGTGTGTGTATATATATAATAAAGAAAACACGAGGAATAAGAAATGAGAGGAATCTATATACAGGGTTAATGTGATATATGATTGAAATGTTCACCCATGTTAATATTCACCCATGTTCATCCAAGTCTCTCCTCCTGGGATCTCAGTCTATTCAGAATCTATTTCAGGATCCTGTGACCTCACTGTGGAAATAATGAAAGTTCTAAGTACAGGTTCATGGTGTTTTCCATTACCCACTAGAGGGTATTGAAATCGAGGAAACCAGGTGTCCTGCATTCCAGCAGAGTCACACAAATAGAAAGATTGCATCCCCCAAATAGCCTAAATGCATACATTTTGGCATTACCGTTTTTAACATAATTACACAGTATATTGAATGGGTGATTTTTTTATTTGGAAAGGGGAAGTGTATTTCAAAGGGACAAAGAAACAGGTCTGACTCTAATATGCATTTTTTTTTAAACCTTTATTTAAGTAGGCAAGTCAGTTAAGAACAAATTCATATTTACAATGACGGCCTACCCCAGCCAAATCCTCCCCTAACCCTGGCCCAATTGTGTGCCACACTATGGGACTCCCAATCACAGCCGGTTGTGACCCGGATCGAACCCGGGTCTGCAGGGACACCTCTAGCACTTCTATGCAGTGCCTTAGACCGCTTCGCCACTCGGTCCCCTAATGCAAAGGTCTACAGTATATCCATCTTTGTCTGTCCTTACCAACACTTATGACTGCCATGGTAGTTGTTTTTTGTGTGTGTGTTTTATTATTTTTATAGAATCGTCAGTCATTCCTGCATTAAAAAAAATAAAAATCTAGGGAGTCAATGCTGAGACCAAGGTCTCTTTTCCAGATGAGCCCTGTTTAGCACAACAATACACATCAAAATACAATATACACATTAAACTACACATCCATATACACATTAAAATACACATTATTATACACAACAATACATGAAAAGCAAAACACAATCGTAAAAAACTGACACATTCTTCAGTTAAAAGTTCCCCTAACAGCTGTCTGAAATGCCCTAGGCACCAATTCCTCAAATTGTATTGCATTGGAGATCCTTCCACACTTATAAAGTGCAAACAAAATAAAAGCAGATCTATCCAACTCATGAGTGGAGATCAAAGGGATGAGGCATTTGTGTTTTTTTTTTAATTTGTGTTTTTTTTTTTCTCTCACTTGAACCTACTTTTGACTGAGCTGGTGCTGCCTCCCGTGGGAGTCATAATTTGGGTCATTCTGACCCATTTAACCTCCATGACCAATGCCCTTTATTGCAATAGAAGGCTCTACCAATCACCATCATGCACCCCTTCTGGTAGGTTCCTCAAGTGGAAATTAAAATGAAGCAAATTACTTAAAGGCATTTTTCGGGGAACCATAATGTAGAAATTATACATAAAAACACTAGAAATAAATCAGTAGGTTCGCAGAAATTCTGTAAATCTTTCTATATGGTATTTTCCATCTTGGTCAGTGAAGAGAACAAATGCAATGTGCAATTTGTATAAAGTAGCCTAGGCCTATACCTGTAATCCAGAGAAGGCTGGTGGGAGGAGCTATAGGAGGAGCTATAGGAGGATGGGCTCATTATAATGGCTGGAATGGAATAAATGGAATGGTACCAAACACATCAAACACATGAAAACAATGTGTTTGACTCCGTTCCATCTATATCATTCCAGCCATTAAAATGAGCATGTCCTCCTATAGCTCCTCCCACCAGCCGCCTCTGACGAAATCAGCATATATTATACATTCACATAAAAAACTCCTGATTGTTTTCATCCAATTTGTTGCACTAGTGAGCCTTTGGAGAATGTGGGAATTGGCCGGCATTAGCAAGAACCAGTGGGTGCAAATCTATTAACATTCAGACTGTGTTGCAGTGATGAGACCAGACCAGCTGCAGTCTCAAGAGGTATGGACCCTGAAAACTCTTCTATTTCCAAATTAAGAGAGGAAGATAGAAACTCAGTGTGGCCCAATGTTATACTTTTTGATCTGTCCTATGTGGTTGCCTCACAATGTCTACAAAACAACATCTCATGCTAATATTAGTACTAATGCCATGGATGTACTCATTTGCATTATGGTTTTTGGGGGGGGTCTTGGGTGGCAATGTTTCCTGCATTCAAATGCAGCCTGTCCCTTTCTAGAATGTGGGGAGGCCCAAGTTGATGTGTCATGGTTCTGTGCCAGATGACACTTCAGAGGAGCTTGAATGGAGGGGAAGTTGAGGATCAACAGGAATTGAAAATAGGGAAATATACTGCTGGGGACATCTATTCATGTGTAGACTGAATAGTGAATAGCATACACTAGGCTAATAATCTACTGTCAACTAAACAGTTGCCTGCGCTGAAGATGTCTATATCGGTCCACTAATACAGGACTAGTAAAGGGCCAATGCACTACTTTTGTACACATTTTTGTACTAAATGTATTTCAGTGTTTACCAGCAGTTGTAACTTGAGTCTGATCATTATCTGTACAAAACAGTTAATCTGATAATACTTGTGGAATATAAAAATACTTGCTTGATATATGTTTTCCAGTTTCTTTAAATACTTTGCAAATGTAACTTATTTCTATGTGGAAACTGAAACGGTCTATTCATTCCTTTTCCATTTTAGTATATGCTCTTATCCAGAGCAACTTACTAGTGAGTGCATAGCTTTTCATACTGATCCCACGTGGGAATCAAACTGACAAACATAGTATTGTGCATAGTTTTCAATTACTGTATTGTGCATCGTTTTTCTTCATGGTGATGGAAAGTCTACAGGTTCAAACCTAGATGTCCAGCCTATGTACGATACTGTAATGTACATTTACATTAAGTGGTTTGTAAGGATGGTAAATTAATACTGCACAAAAAGTGTTTTTTTTCCATGTTATTTGAAAAAAAATTATATCTAATTTGATGTGGATGTTTTCTGTCTTTGCCCATAACTTTGAACCGTTTGATGTAAATGTTTGAGGACAGGGTTTTGTTCTTTCTGGATGCCATTAGAATGACAATGGCAGAGAAAGGGACAACTATTGAATCAAGATACTGTTCTTTATTATACAACTACCTTTTTTGCCCAAGCTACAGACATCTATAGAGGCCCGCTAATACAAGTAAAGGCCCAGTGTACTACTTTTGTGAACATTTTTTTGGGCAAATAATACTTTTTTAAATATTTTTTTTATTATTATTAGGATTTTTCAGAGGGTGCCACAGCACCCTCATCACCCCTACTTCCCGCGGCTAAGGCTAAGAACCTGTAGTTACCTCCACTCATCATCAGTGGGGGTTTTCAAGCAATTAGATAGGCCAACTAATAATACAATCCAATATGTCGTTTCAGATAGACATCTATTTCATATAGGCAGCTATAGTGATTTTTTTTATTCTCAGAAACCCACAATGTTGTTTTTTTCCCATCACTGATACGGGTGTTGACCGCAACAACAAGCGGGCGGGGTGTTAGAGCAGCGCTCACTCGAGGAGTCAGTGACGTACAGACTGGGAGCGCGCAGACCCGCCCTCTAGCCGCCATTTTTCTGTCTCGGACTCAATCAAGCTGGAGGTGTGGAGCCGAGTATAAACAAGGGAAAGAAAAATACGAGCGAGACCCTGTTATTTAAAAAAAATCAGAGGACAGAAATATACTCAAGAAATTCTACCGTTTTGGGACTCTATATGCATGCATGGGAGCCGAGACACTCTTGTGAATTCGTTTTGTGTGGAGACGCGTTGCAGGCCGCCATTTTTGTTACTGCCTCAAAAGTCTGTCGGGACTCAAGAAAAGGATAAAATATATATATTCGTGCCTTACAGTTCGACCAAGAAGATACAAAGTAACAATTTGGGCTCCGGCGCACAGTTATTTGCAACATTGTATGGACATGGAGACTCGTTTAATCAAGTAGTGAGGCGACCTTTTCCGTTCTCATTTACTGACAGTGACTGGAGATAAAGTATATTGTTTCATGAAATAGATACATGTTTGCTTTTTTCGGAAGAGGGAACGAAAAGAGGAACCTTGATTGATCATTGTTACAGTCAGGCATTCTAGATGTGTATAACTTCTCGTAGTTTTAGACATTGAGAACTGGCATTTGTCATTGACAATAAACGAAGAACCGTTATGCTTCAAAGTTGTCTCAAGCTATTCGCAGCCTGTCTCTGAAACGTCAGGTTACGTTTGTATTGGATTTAACTAACTGAAGCCTGCAGCCTTCAATTTGAGTGCTTTAGGGCGACTGATTACCCTGCCCTGGATCTTCAAAATCAAGTTGTCAAAATCGTTATCTAGCTTACTAATATATTAGTTATTTATATTTTGTTGTTTACATAAGTTAATTTTTATCAAATATGTCATCTGCGCGGTTCGATTCATCGGACCGGTCCAGTTGGTATTTTGGGCCGGTGTCGAGACAGGAGGCCCAGAATAGATTACAAGGACAGAGGCATGGCATGTTTTTGGTTCGGGATTCCTCAACCTGCCCTGGCGACTATGTGCTGTCAGTATCTGAAAATTCCAAAGTGTCCCACTATATCATTAACTCCTTGCCAAGCATGAGGTTCAAAATCGGGGACCAAGAATTCGAGCACCTCCCAGCGCTTTTGGAGTTCTACAAAATCCACTACCTGGATACGACTACACTGATAGAACCTGCCCCCAGGTAAGGAACTGCCACAGGCTTGGCCTGCGGCCACATACCACTCAAAGGAATGCAGTTAAAAGCTCTTAGTTAGGCCTTAGGTTTTCAAGATGTTTAGAATTCCAATGATTTGACACATTTCCTGCTATGTGATGGACCTCTCAGAAACAGATTCTGAGGGTTGTATCCATGTAAATCATAAACTTTACCAGTCTTCTACTTATTGAGTAGTGACCGCACGTAATGGCAGGTTTAACAATGACTTGCATAGTTCCTGTCCGGCTAGGGCTACTGTTTTCCGCCAGTTTGAGTTATTTATGCGTTTCATAACAATTTAAACCTTGACTGGTGTGGTATGTTCACAAAGGGGGTGTGACACAAAACAGTAGTGACATTTGGGGAGAGGAATGTATATACTTTGATCTAGTCCAGCGTTTCCCAAACTCTGGCCTGCAGACCACAAGGGGTGCACGTTTTGGTTTTCGCCCTAACACTACCAGCTGATTCAAATAATCAAAGCTTAATGATGAGTTTATTATTTTAATCACCTGTGTAGTGCTAATGCAAAAGCTAAAATACTGGGAAATACTGATTTAGTCAGATATGATGATTTCAGTAGTTCAGCAGTAAAACTTTTGTTCATATTATATTGAAACAGTCGTGTGATAATCAATACTGAACAAAAATACACTACATGACCAAAAGTATGTGGACACCTGCTCGTCGAACATCTCATTCCAAAATCATGGGTATTCATATGGAGTTGGTCCCTCCTTTGCTGCTATAACAGCCTCCACTCTTCTGGGAAGGCTTTCCACTAGATGTTGGAAAATTGCTGCTGGAACTTGCTTCCATTCAGCCACGAGCATTAGTGAGGTCGGGCACTGATGTTGGGTGATTAGGCCTGGCTCGCAGTCGGATTCCAATTCATCCCAAAGGTGTTAGATGGGGTTGAGGTCAGGGCTCTGTGCAGGCCAGTCAAGTTCTTACACACCGATCTCGACAAACCATTTCTGTATGGACCTCGCTTTGTGCACGGGGGCAATGTTACGCTGAAACAGGAAATGGCCTTCCCCAAACTATTGCCACAAAGTTTGGGGAAGGCCAAGCAGGTAGCTTAGTGGGTAAGAGCGTTGTGCCAGTAACCGAAAGGTCGCTGGTTCTAATCCCTGAGCCGACTAGGTGAAAAATATGTCGATGTGCCCTTAAGCAAGGCACTTAACCCTAATTGCTCCTGTAAGTCGCTCTGGATAAGAACGTCTGCTAAATGACTAAAATTGAAAGTTGGAAGCACAGAATTGTCTAGAATGTAATTGTATGCTGTAGCGTTAAGATTTCCCTTCACTGGAACTAAGGGGCCTAGCCCGAACAGCCCCAGACCATTATTCCTCCTCCACCAAACTTTACAGTTGGCACTATGTATTCGGATAGGTAGGGTTCTCCTGGCATCCACCAAACCCAGATTCGTCTGTCGGTGAAGCGTGAGTCATCACTCCAGAGAAGGCGTTTCCACTGCTCCAGAGTCCAATGGCAGTGAGCTTTACACCACTCCAGCCGACGCTTGGCATTACGCATTGTGCGGCTGCTCGGCCATGGAAACCCATTTCATGAAGCTCACGACGAACAGTTCTTGTTCTGACGTTGCTTCCAGAAGCAGTTTGGAACTCGGTAGTGAGTGTTGCAACCGAGCGGTCCTGTTCTGTGAGCTTGTGTGGCCTACCACTTCGCGACTGAGCCGTTGTTGCTCCTAGCGATTCCACTTTACTATAATAGCACTTACAGTTGACCGGGGCAGCTCTAGCAGGGCAGAAATTTGACGAGCTGACTTGTTGGAAAGGTGGCATCCTATGGGACTCCCAATCAGAGCCAGTTGTGATACAGCCTGGAATCGAACCAGGGGGTCTGTAGTGACGCCTCAAGCACTGAGAGGCAGTGCCTTAGACCGCTGCGCTGGCGGCGGGTGAATGGCACGACAATGGGCCTCAGGATCTCGTCACGGTATCTCTGTGCATTCAAATTGCCATTGATAAAATGCAATTGTGTTCGTTGTCCGTAGCTTATGTCTGCCCATACCATAACCCCACCGCCACAATGGGGCACTCTGTTCACAACGTTGACATCAGCATCTTGGCAAAGGAGAAATTTGTGCACATAATTTGAGAGAAATTACCTTTTTGTGTGTATGGAACATTTCGGGGATCTTTTATTTCAGCTCATGAAACATTTACATGTTGTGTTTATATTTTTGTTCAGTGTACATGTTAATCTGTATTTTATGCTCCCCCTCCTCTGGCCCTCTTCCTCCCCAGGTACCCTAACACAGCTATAGGCACCAGCCCCATTCAGGCGATGGGCGGCCCAGAGGACAACCTGGAGTATGTGCGGACTCTGTACGACTTCACGGGCAGCGATGCTGAGGACCTGCCCTTTAAGAAGGGGGAGATCCTGATCATCCTGGAGAAGCCTGAGGAGCAGTGGTGGAGTGCCAAGAGCAAGGAGGGCCGCATGGGCATGATCCCTGTGCCCTATGTGGAGAAGCTGGTGCGACCGTCCCCTCACCCTGGCCAGCCCCCTCACAGCTCCCGCAACTCCAACAGCTATGGCATCCCCGAGCCGGCCCATGCTTACGCTCAGCCTCAGACCCCCTCGCCCCTTCCCCCTGGCACCCCCGGAGTGGTCAACACCCCCCTGCCCTCCATGCAGAACGGGCCAGTCATGGCTAAGGCCATCCAGAAACGAGTGCCCTGTGCCTATGACAAGACGGCCCTGGCTCTAGAGGTAGGAGTCCCTCACATTCTGTCCCAGCATGGTTTTGTGAAGGGAGGCCTCAAGACCTAAATGCTCCTAGTTGTCCTCTATGCTCATAGTTCAGTAGGTTGTGTAAATTTCATTAGATTTAACTTAAGCCTGCAGCCACTCTACGCACAAGAATAAGCCTGGCTACGCTAGGCCCAATAATGGACCAAAGGAACCTAATGTAGCTCAGTTGGTAGAGCATGGCGTTTGCAACGCCAGGGTTGTGGGTTCGATTCCCACGGGGGGCCAGTATGAAAATATATATATATATATATATATATATATATATTGTATGCACTAACTAACTGTAAGTCGCTCTGGATAAGAGTGTCTGCTAAATGACTAAAATCTAAATGTAAAATGTAATGTTACTTATAGTCCAAGGACCTTACATGTTCTGTTTAAAGGCAAATTGCTCTGGATGCCAAAACAGCCAAATACTCAATCTAAACGTGAATCGATTCTTAATTGTGGTATGGTTCTAGAAACATAAATCCCTGTACTTTCATATCACATCAAAATAGTTTCACGAATGCAAAATACACACTAATTAACCGGTTTAAACACCGTTGCAGCCAACAGTATTTTTCAGTGACAACACGTTTATGGCATCCATCTTCCATTTACACACAGGTGTTCTGAGACGCCGATAGCTAATTGGCACAGGTAGTCCACTCTGACTCCCGTCTGTTTTACTCAAACAAGCGCTGTAACATGGAAATATGGGAACCCTAACCCTATAAAGGTGTGTAGTAATTTAACCTTTTTTTTCTGATATGAAAGATACATTCCTTATGTTTCCAAAACCGTACCGCAAGCGATGCGTGTTAATGTTTAAAGCAAGCGTCGGGGCTCTTAACAAAACTCCCCACATCAGAAGATACTATCATCAATAGGCGCTAAAGCAGTTAGCGTCAATGAATGCGGTAAGTCTACACAGGCAGCCCAATTCTGATATTTATTCCACTAATTGGTCTTTTGACGAATCACATCAGATCTTTTCACATCAAATCTTTTTCAGAGCTGATCTGAAAATACCAATTAGAGAAAAAAATTCAGAATTGGGCTGCCTGTGTAAACGCAGCCATTGTGCCAAATATTATGGATCAAGTCATTTAAAGACAGTTGAGATCACTGAGGTTATTTTTAATGAGTGCATTTTGCAAGTGGCTAGTTTGCATCAACTACCTTAACTAAAACCACTGCAAAGGTTTTGCCTGCAAACTTTGGTTTTGAATCGCGACGTTCTGGCATGTCTGCCTCGTGATTTTTTTCCCTTATCAACGTAGGCAGTGACGTAGTTCTTCCATGCCAAAAGAGTCCATAATTGAAACCAGTCACTGTGTTGCCTAGGGTCGGGTTTTCGAGACTAGAGAGCGGGTGTGAGAGAGAGAGAAATCCTGAGATTATTCATTAATCAGAGGGGACGTGTTTTGTGCATCACATCAGTTTGTTCTCATCATGTATCCACCAGAGCAGACGGCAGCTTAGTGCTTCAGATTTCCATCTGTCAGAAATAGAGTCCGGGGTTGTGTGAATAACACCACCTCTTTCACAAACTAGAGCAAGGCTGACTAATGCCTTGGATTACCAGCCTACCCCAGAATACAGCCACATTTTTGTCAGTTAAAAGTGTAGCCTTCACCACCTTGGTTTAAGTCAAAACCATTATTATTCAGCAGCTTCAGAGTCCTAGACCCCCACACTAAAGTAAACCGTCTCTCATTTAAGCCTTGTTCACATTGGCAGTTTGAAGTGACTCAAAAAAAAGAATGCATATTTGATTCGAATTTGTTCTTTTTCCTGCAGTCTGAACAGCCAAAAAGCACATTGTTTCAGATATTTCAAGCCACATTTCAAACCACCTTTAGGTGGTTGAAAGTCGGATACAAATCTGATTCCTGGCCATGTGACTTGTGTCTGAATGGTCAAATCTGATTTATTTGCCCACAAGTTGTTTTTAGACTGTTATTTGGCATATGTTTTTGCTTGCTAGCTACTCAGTTTTGACTAGAACATGTGGTAGTTAACTAGCTTGTTAATTGTTAACAAACAAATTAGTGAATGTGCTAGAAAGCTAAACGGCTAGCTAGTTGACTGCTGTGGTTAGTCAAAAAGGACTTGTTTTGAAAGTTGGATCATTTTATCCTTTGAGGCTTTAAAAGTGTTCTTACACTATGATTTTGAACATTCAAAGCAACTGGGAAACGTCCATGGCTGGCATTGTTGTCACCTTAGTTTGCTTTCTGAGTGATGGGAAGCACAGGCACCACCACCATCAGCCTACATCACTGCGCACACACCCGTCATTACTATGACAACTAGCATAGCCATGTCAGCAAATAACTGCTGTCTGAACACACACAAATCCTAGTTGGTTACTTGTAACTTGCTGTTTGGTCAGTCAGTATTCCAAAACGGATTTGAAAAACAAAGCCGATTTGAGCATTAAGGCCTGCAGTGTGAACAAGGCTTCAGTTAGACATTCTAGTCATGGTGCATCTGTGTTTCTACAGCAGGCTTCGGATGGTTACAAGTCTGTTAGGGACTTCCCCCTGCTGTTGCTGCAAAGTTACACCCACTCTTCATACACCCACTCTTCAAGCCTGACTAAGCATTGAGAAGAAGTAGCCCTCTAGATGTATTCATGTGCTCCTTCATGGTCATTCACCTACTCACTTAAAAGCTTTGTAGACATGGACATGTAGGCCACCTATTAGTCTAGCAGAGACTTGCCTTTAACCAAGGCTAATTGCACTGCTAGCAAAATATTTCTGACACATTTTCATGGAGTTGCTGGTACTCTATCAAAAGTTGTTCTTAGAAGGTCTGATTTATATGAACTGTCGTGGTGTCCCAGAAGTTTGACCTTTTGACCCACAGAGACTAGAGAGTTCAGCGGCTGATCCACTGCTTAAATTATAGCCCATTAGAGTCCTCTCTCCTCTGTGACCTGGAAACCGAGAAGTGACCAAGTGGTGGTGGTGTGTCGATTCGTTAGTAGGCAAATGAAGATGGTCCTCCCCTCCTCGATAGCATCATTTTGGCCAGGTGTATCCTACTGTGGAAAAGGTTTGATATCTTCAACACCCCCTTTGAATCAGCTGTTGTATTGTCGGAGGAGAAAACCATGCACACTTTTAAAAACAATAGAATGAATGAAATTAATGAATGAAATTGTATTTTTGTGTCAAATCGCCAGTTGGCAACCCCATCCCTTATAGGATTAATTGACACATAAACAAACATTACAATAATTCACTGTGATAATTCAGTGATAATTCTTCTTCCGGTGTTCTCTGCAAAAGAGTCCAAAATAAAAATAACTAATAAATAAAAATCAATACGTAATAAATAATAAATAAGGTTATCCAAACAATATTTATAAATACAGAATAATGAAACAGAAGGCATTTGAACCCAGGCTGGCTCAAAGAGAAGATACATGTGGGAGACAGGCCTACACACAATCTATATACAATATGCTACTTATTGTTTTATCTATAAAATGTCTTGCACAACTAACTTAATTTGTTTTTATCACTTGATACATTTATTTTGGGATCCACCCCTGTAAACGTAATTTGCCTGATGATGCGTGAGTGGAGAAGGAGGGTCTCATTTCATACAAGCGGATTTTCGTCCATGTTCCCTTTCCTCGCCGCCGCTCCTTGATTACCTTTGACCTTTTGCAAAAGTAGGTGAGAGAGGGTGGAGGAGAGAGGACACAGGAGGTGAGCAAATGTAATTGAGAAAAAGGTGTCGAACTGTGTCAAACTATTTTATTTATTTTGTATTTTATTTTTAAAAGTTTAACAACAATTATCTCAATGCGTAAACTGATTTTTTTTTTCATATTCGCATATGTTGTAGCTTAGACACTATTTCACATAATCTGAGGTTTTTGTGTTGTGCTTGCCATCAGTTGAGACATGACATGCTCTTGAATACAGGGTGGGTGTAATTTCAATCATAGAAATGCAATTCATAGAATGGACGTATCCCTTCATACCACTGCAATTTAGCTGGTACACCATTTAAGTTTTAACTTCTAATTACTACCACAAAGATGGCCGCCGGTCCACCCACCGTCGAATGTCAACTGAAATGGTCATGTCTATTCTATTATCTATATTTCTATGATGTCAATAGGTTTCCTATGGAGGATTGATAGTATAATTTAAAACAACAGATATTCCCATTCAAGTCAACATTCTCTGATGTGTGGGCTCCAACCATCTTTGTGGTACCATTTGAGAGTTTAATTATTGAATTTTTTCCCCTTTTTAGTACTCAGACAAAACATGACACCCACCCTGTGTTCAAGAGTATGCTGTGTCTCAACCAATGACGGGCAAACACAACCTTCGATGATGTAAAATAGGGTCTAAACTACAACATATAATAATATGAAAAAAAATCTGGGTTTAAGCGTTTTTAGATCATTGACGTTAAAGAAAAAAATTATAATCCAGAAATGTTACAATAATTTGACAACCCTGTTTGTAAGCGTTCAAATTATATCAATCTCAACCGTTGTTATATTTTCCAGTGAAGAAGACATGAATGTCTCATGGTATGGTGGGGGTATGCAAAATGGGTCAACTTTGAGCACATTTATCTCTTGAATTTTTGTGTCATTCAGGTCCAAAAAGTCACTTTCTGAGCACTTCTACAGTGGGCAAATATGTATGGAAGGTTTTGTTCAAATCAAAAGGGGTGCTGTCAAAAAGTGATTGAATTAAAATGGATTTACCCTAATGCTATCTCTGTCACTCAGAGTAGGTCATGGCCAACAGCAGAAACCTACAATTTAGCAGCAGGCTATTTTGGGATAATCTGTTTCAAGAAATGGAACCTCGGTCATTATACAAAATTTCATCTGAAAGGAGGAATATACCCTGTGATATACTGCACCACCCACTTCCTTCATAACAGAGACGGATACTGAAATCTAGTTATTACCAGCCTAATGTTTGATTATTGAAAATATATGAACATTTGCAAGGACCGTTCTCAAGATGTTCAGTTTAGAATATTGTATCACCACACAACAGGATAATTTCTTATATAAAGAAAGTGCAAGTAGCCTGAGTGTACAAAACATTAGGAACACCTTCCTAATATTGAGTTGCACCCCATTTTGCCCTCAGAACAGCCTCAATTCGTCGGGGCATGGACTCTACAAGGTGTCGAAAGCGTTCCACAGGGATGCTGGCCCACGTTGACTCCAATGCTTCCCACAGTTGTGTCAAGTTGGCTGGATGACCTTTGGGTGGTGGACCATTCTTGATAAACAAGGGAAGCTGTTGAGCATAAAAAACCCAGCAGCATTGCAGTGACACACTCAAACCGGTGCGCCTGGCACCTACTACCATACCCTGTTCAAAGGTACTTAAATATTTTGTCTTGCCCATTCACCCTCTGAATGGCAAACATACACAATCCATGCCTCAATTGTCTCAAGGCTTTAAAATCCTTCTTTAACCTGTCTCCTCCCCTTCGTGATTAAAGTGGATTTAACAAGTGACCTCAATAAGGGATCATAGCTTTCACCTGGTCAGTCTGTCATGGAAAGAGCAGGTGTTCCTAATGTTTTGTACACTCAGTGTACATTGGATTCTACCCAGAGGTTATTCAGGACCCCATTCACCCATCACTTTGTAATCTTTTCAAAGTAGTAATCTTTTCAAAGTAGTCCTATTTAGTTCTATTAAATGTTGAGTACATCAATGTTCTTTCACTATGCAAGGCGAGCTACAATTTACAGTATTAAAAGTTGAGGATTATGATTATGGATGGCATGTCTATATGACTTCAATGGTCCTTGAAGCCTCATTCTGATCCAATCATTCTGCTACAACATCCAGAGCCTGCCCTCCACTTTCAGGTTTGAATCTTCCTCTTAACAATGCCAACTTCCCACATTTAATCCTGAGTGAATAGCATATGGTCTGTGCAGATTGGGGTCACGTACAGTGTCACAAAGCACCAGAGTTATTGCTTTCTACTCAAGCTGTCACAACCATATTACAGTGTCAAATACATGGAGGGTTGGCAAGATCAATGAGTCTCAGTCAGTACTTTGTTAACGTGTGATGGATGCTCTTAGCACTTATCTTAAATTGTCCACCTCATTTGTCTGTGGAATTAAGGAAAACTCTTAACTCAATCTGTCCTTCATTTCTCCTCAGGTGGGTGATATAGTCAAAGTGACGAGGATGAACATCAGCGGTCAGTGGGAGGGAGAGGTGAACGGCCGGAGGGGTCTCTTCCCCTTCACCCATGTCAAAATAATGGACCCCCAGAATCCGGATGAGAGTGAATGACCTGGACCCCAACCAACCCTCCCTCCCCACAGTGACACTCAAACCTGCTGGCTGTATCCACCCCGCCCGCCAGTGTCACCACGGTTACGTGCTTGCCTGCTTGCGGCTGTGCCACAGTGCTCTCTGTTATCGTCACGCCAACCATTGTGCGGCTTTCTGACTGTTTACAGCTCTAGACTCAACTAAACTCCCCCATCCCCTACCTGGTTACAGGCTGGTCAGTGGTTTGTGCGTTTATGTCCTTTCATTTCCAGACCATCGGTTGGTTATGTGTGTGTTGCCATGGCTCCCATGAGGCCATGTCTTACCTGGTCATTTTTTATTTGATCTTTTGTTACATTTGAATACTTTGGGATTTTTTGAGAGCTTGCTTGGACTGTGTGTTTTGTGTTGTGGATGGGAGGAGGTTAATGTGAAAAAGAAGAGCGAGAGGTGACTAAACATCACATGGACTGACTGAGGAGAGCAAAGTCATAAAGGGCTCCAGGTGGGGCCTGAGGATAGAACCAGACAGTTAACTGTGTCTCTCTCCAAACAATCATTCACTGTTGGTACCTTAATCACAGCCACACATACACACACACACAGATTGACCATTCCTTGTTGAGGGCGACTGCTGTGTGTGTGTGTTTGTGGATCAGAGTCTCTTGACTGACATAAGCTGAGCTGACTGGGACAGGAGAACGAGGCAGAGGCTGACAGAGGAGGACAAGCCCACATGGATTCTGCCTTGTGGAATAGCCCATAGCCTCAGTGACACAGACCTAGTTGACAGAGTTCCCTTATTTATGTTTTCCCCAGACCGACATGTGAAGTGGCTATATTTGTGCCATAAATTCAGGAGTGCTGAGCGAGGCGTTTGTCGTAGTATAAGTGCATGGCTGTGACCAGGCTATAGCCAATGTAAGGGATTTTCTATGAGACTGATGCCTCCTGCATCCAATGATATGGGTCACAGGAGGTGGGCAAGGGTTGCAGCCAGCCAATGACACCCCATCAATGCCTTTCACCGAAAATGCAACTTTAGTACAAGCAATCCTTCCCTGTTTTCTCCCCAGGTTCCCTAAGGTGGTGATTGGTTACAACCCTGACCCTCATCTCTATGACCCTCATCTCTAGCCAGTGTTGACTGTCGAGCACAGGACCTGAGGAGAAAACTTGGTTGTCTTTGGTTATGTCTGACTGACATTGTGATGCCAGAGCTGTCCTGCTCTTTGGTCTTGGTGTGTGTGTGCTGATAAAGTGCTCCGTTAGAGCTCTGCTGTAAAGAAGACTTACCCTTGCTGTTGTCTCTCCCCTAGTGCTTTCCCTCAACCCTCCTGAGCTTTTTCATTGGGTAGAGTAATACCATTGTACAACTATCAATCGTGTCCTGACTGTACTTTTTTTTTGTTAGCCAACTGTTGAATTGAGCGTTTAATATTTGTTTAAATAACCTTGTAAACAATTAGACTGAAGGTGACTATTTTTAAAGGGAAAAACATGCCTGCTGGTGGCCTCTGTGCATGACCTCTTGGCCTTGAGGTTTCTCTTCTAGGTCAAATGCTGCTTTGTGTCATTTAAAATGTCCTCATTACAATATGAATTAGACTTGTTTTTTTTATGGCATCTGTGGAATCAATCCATTCAAATGTAGTTTAGTTTTCCTTGTCCAACCTCCATATTAAACCCTCTGATTAAGCAATACACCAATTTTAATGAACGTTTTAGTTAGGTAAACAGGTTTTTATCAATGTGCTTTGTAAAGGCATTAACAGTATTACTGTGCTTTTTCCCCTCATGTTTTAGAGAGCCTCCATGTTGTCTTCTTAATTCAAAATAAAAAATTGTGCCTTTTTATTTTCTTATAACATTTACATGTTAATATTTCCCATGGTTAACACCCGTGCTGGTATGGCCCTTTATGTACAGAACAAGTAAATAAAATGTATGTCTACTTCTTTAAGTTGCTCTGACCTCTTTACTATGAGGGGAATGAGTGCCCCAAATAAGTATCTTCTTCTGCTCAGAACAGATACGGGGAAATGTGTTCGGTAAAGGGGAGTTGGTGGATGGGATGTTTTGCAGCAGGACTGACTGTATCTGGAGCAGGGGACAGTTGCTCTCCATCTCCGCTTCATTTCTATAAGTTCCAGTTTTGATTGTGGCTGCGCCCAGGAGAAAGGAAGCAATTAATGAATGTTAATGAAGAGCTAATAAAAGAAAGCTGACCTAGAGAGAGCCAGAGAGAAACTTTTCAAGGGCAAGGTTTAGTCTAAATCTCTTCTCACATGATGAGGTAAAGTCTTTTTGATGAATGTGACTCGTTTCAAGAAACTAGGCGTATATTTAATATGTGCATGCAGGTCTACTACATAAAATGTAACCATCTAAGATTTCAGTTGAATAGGGTACACTTTGGGAAAGTAATGCTCAGTTGATTTAATACCAGTTTAGTTTTGCAATCTCCAAACTATCTTGACAGGTATTTGTAAGGTCTTGGTGACAAAGAAGAGAGTGGTCTGTGCTGGAGGAGGGAAAGGAGATGGGACAGAGGGCAGTGCTTGAGTTCTCTGGCCTGTTGGTATGCAAACCAGATGGCACCCAGCCTCGACTAGGCTATTTGGGAAGAATGTTCAACAAGCCACATGATAAAGTAACATGCCATCCAAATTGTATAACTGCCTTAATTTTGCTGGACCCCAGGAAGAGTAGCTGCTGCCTTGACAGCAGCTCATGGGGATCCTTAATAAATACAAACACAAATAGTATGGTTTTTGGAGATTACATTATAAAACTGGAGGTGATATCTGCACAGCACATCTGCGTCTATATCTACTCTTCCGGTATCTCTCCCTATCTGTGGCTGACTCCTTGAACTAGTAAACCATATTACATTGAAGAGCCTCTGCTTCTAGCAGCCTAGGTGGTATATTCTACTCTTTGAGATAGGCGTATGTCATCTCCAGCCACAGCAGACTTGGAGGCTACAGAGACTTGCAATGATACACAAGAACAGGTGCATACGAGCGCTCGACTGCGGCCAACTCTGGGGTTACCACTGCCGCCGGTTGTCTCGCGGACACCGCACTGGCGGCGATATAAATAAGGCCATTACGTGACTGTCTCTGGGCCCATATGCTTCTGAAACAAATGGTACAGTAGCCTGTTCTAGATTTAACAACTGCATACACATACCTCACGACCACAGGAAAAGTGATTACCCACAAGAGGGCGTTGTTTTGCGCCAAATTCGAAGCAGTGCTGTGCCTCTCCCCCAGCCTCCGCAATTGCACCTTCCTTTTACAGGTATGGGCCCCCATTTAATTGCATGGGTCTCTACCCGCTGGCCTTCCCCAGCCAAGGAGGTACATGTAGACTACTCCACATTCTGGCCCTTGCCACCAAGAAGCTGAAACAGTCCACTGCAGTCTACGCCAACATGCATCATTGTCCTGTACAGCATCAATGATCATGTCTACATGCACACCAATATCTCGTTATTATTTGGAATTCTCAAGTAATCTGTTTTTGAGTTGACGCATATAAACATCATATCCCGTTTACAATAACATGAAAAAGCTTGTATCCCGGTTATGAGAAACCCGGATAAGATGCCTGGGATATGCTGATTTTAGATGGGACATTGTGGCATGTCAACATCTTATCCCGTTTACTTTTTTTGTTGTTGCGGTCTGCACATGCTCAGTTTCGCATATCATGGGTGTTAAGTGATAATGTTTTCATCTGATTGTCAAACCAGTCACTTAAAAAAGTAGGCTATACCTACGCAGTTCTGTCCACCATAATAATTCCACAATCATTTATTTTGCTGTACTGGACCGTAAAGCCTACCGGTTTAGGCTATTTTCACTCCTAATTTAGATATGTTTCTGTTTATAATTTTCGACATTTGGTAAGCCATATTATAATTTTCGTAGGCCATTTGCTTGTCAACTATAGTTTAATACATGCAGCTTCTCATAACCTGTTGCCCCAGAAGACTAAATAAAGTAGTGCTTACTAGAATAATGTCTTACATCGATAGAATGGATGCATTAGTAATCTAGTTAACACCTGTAAAGTTGTCTGTTTTATTTAGGGACCGGGAGAAAACACAATAACTCCAAAACAGTGGAAAGATTGTTCCTGTGCAAAATGTCCAAATGTCATCAGTTTCCCCGGTTTTAAGGAAATTAAAAAGCTGAGAAAACAATGAAACACGTTTCTGATAAGACTTCAGTTTGTCTTGGGTGCATATTTTATGTGGTTGAAATACTGTCTGCTTGTATAACAGTGTCAAAGATAACATGTTACACGCACATTCACATTTTCTCAAGAGATGCTGAAAGAAATAAATCATATTTCTTTGCTCCTGTTCCCGAGACAAAATTAAAATGTGTTATATAATTTTGCTTCAAGAAATGCACAATTCTGCAGGAGTTCATATTATATTAGGCTACACGTGAGAGGTTATAGGCCTACAGTCAGTGTCCAGATTTCACTTACTATTCCACTCCTGCATTGTCTTGGCTGTGTGCTTAGGGTCATTGTCCTGTTGGAAGGTGAACCTTCACCTCAGTCTGAGGTCCTGAGCGCTCTCGAGCAGGTTTTCATCAAGGATCTCTCTGTACTTTGCTCCGTTAATCTTTCCCTCGCTCCTGACTAGTCTCCCAGTCCCTGCCGCTGAAAAACATCCCCACAGTATGATGCTGTCACCACCATGCTTCACTGTAGGGATGGTGCCAGGTTTCCTCCAGATGTGACGCTTGGCATTCAGGCCAAAGAGTTCAATGTTGTTTCTCATGGACTGAGAGTCCTTTAGGTGCCTTTTGGCAAACTCTAAGCGGGCTGTCATGTGCCTTTTACTGAGGAGTGGCTTCTGTCTGGCCACTTTACCATAAAGGCCTGATTGGTGGAGTGCTGCAGAGATGGTTGTCCTTCTGTGCAAACATTTCTAAAAACCTGTTTTCGCTTTGTCAATATGGGGTATTGTTTGTAGATTGATGAGGATTTTTATTTATTTAATCCATTTTAGAATAAGGCTGTAATGTAACAAAATGTGGAAAGGTCAAGGGGTCTCAATACTTTCTGAATGCACTGTATACAGGGGTGATAGCAGGGTCTTAGGGGCTGTTGCGCCTTCTTCACCACACTGTCTGTGTGGGTGGACCATTTTAGATTGTCAGTGATGTGTACGCCGAGGAACTTGAAGCTTTTCACCTTCTCCACTGCGGTCCCATCAATGTGGATGGGGGCGTGCTCCCTCTGCTGTCTCCTGAAGTCCACGATCAGCTCCTTCATTTTGTTGATGTTGAGGAAGAGGTTATTTTCCTGGCACCACTCCACCAGGGCCCTCACCTCCTCCCTGTAGGCTGTCTCGTCATTGTTGGTAATCAGGCCTACCACTGTTGTGTCATCTGCAAATTTGATGATTGTTTGGAGGCATGGCTACGCAGTCATGGGTGAACAGGGAGTACAGCAGGGGGCTGAGCACGCACCCTTGTGGGGCCCCAGTGTTGAGGATCAGCGTAGTGGAGGTGTTGTTTCCTACCTTCACCACCTGGGGGCAGCCCGTCAAGAAGTCAAGGACCCAGTTGCACAGGGTGGGGTTCAGACCCAGGGCCCCAAGCTAAATTATGAACTTGAAGGGTACTATGATGTTGAAGGCTGAGCTGTAGTCAATGAACAGCATTCTTACATAGGTATTCCTCTTGTCCAGATGGGATAGGGCAGTGTGCAGTTGGATGGTGATTGCATCGTCTGTGGATCTATTGGGGCGGTATGCAAATTGAAGTGGGTCTAGGGTGTCAGGTAAGGTGGAGGTGATTTGATCCTTAACTAGCCTCTCAAAGCACTTCATGATGACAGAAGTGAGTGCTACAGGGCGATAGTCATTTAGTTCAGTTACCTTTGCTTTCTTGGGCACAGGAACAATGGTGGACATCTTGAAGCCAGTGGGGACAGCAGTCGCCTCATCTCCCCTCTGGTCCATCCATTTGTCCTGTCCGGGCAGAGGAATCCAATTTTCTCCTTGGTTGACTTGATAAAATGCAGCAGAAAGCACAGAAGGAATGATGGGTCTATTTTTAGACAGTTTTGATTAGGCACGGTGAGCTGAACTGCTCAGGCTCTTGTCAGGCTAGGTACAGCTAAAACACAATGAGACCTGGAAATGGTCCTGGGCTATCACAACCAATGTCTGTAATCAGGCAGCTGTCACTCACAGTTCTCGCATGGGCTTCAGTCCAATAATACTTTTCTACCCAGTTTATCTTCTGTGAATACGTTTTCAGGGCTTTTGTGCAATTTAGCTTAGGCTAATATAAATACAATAATTTCCAAATGGTTCATGAATATTTAATTTAAATGTTTGGATAGAAATACCTTGTATTCATTGCATTGCAGCTCTTTACATTACAAAATAGGTTTGACCACCTTTTGAGAGTTGGGACCAATTTCCATAAACTCCATGTCCACTTTGATTTCCTGAATGAACTAACACTATCTAACTCATCTGCTCTCAGGTATAATTGCAACCATCTCCACCGTATATTTTTGGAGGACGAGGAGACGTGGAGCTTTGTGATAGGCCCACTGACCCTGGCTTTGTGTAGAGCGTGCTCCCAGAAGCCATATGGCCTAGTTGCATGCGGTCTCTCTCTCTCTGTTAAATATTTACAGCACAGACAATTTCTGCCATGAAAACCAAGCCAGCCTTATGATCATCTCTCTCTCTATATCTCTCTTTTTGTCAGGGCTAGGTTTTACAGAGGTAAAGACTAATCTTGGTGCCCTTCTATGTCCGTCTGTACCCTGCGTTGCCAACCGTCCTATGACAATGACAGACTTACATGTGTCCCTGTGCTGTCCTTCTGTGGGAGTGAAGGACTCACCTCTCCTTCCTGCAATGTCTCCTGGGAAACATTGACTTCCCTTGGATCACTTATGGCTTGTGTGAAAATAGTTGTAATATTCACAACATTTATGATAAAGATAAATATTTCTATATGGGAATACGAGTTGATTCTGAATTATATTTATTTTGGAATATCATGAAATCCTTTCCCACTGGGCAAAAACTGGTTGAATCAACGTTGTTCCCACATCATTTCAACCAAAAATGAAATGTGATGATGTTGAATCAATGTGGAAAACAGATTGGAATTGGGGGAAAGTCATCAACGTAAGGGAATTTCCTATCTTTAACCTAAATCCAGTGACATGGTGAAATAGTTTGTTTATTTCACATTTAATTCACTTTCGTTGACAACTCAACCAAATGTAAATCAAAACTAGACATTGAACTGACGTCTGTACCCAGTGGGTTTGGTTATATTCTGATCTCAGTAATCATAACTTTTAATGAGTAAACACACAAACAGACACACATTACATATGTCATACAAGCATGGACGCTCACAAACATTTGAAGGCAGTTCAAATGGAGCACCAGCAAAGTAGGAGAGCAGGCTCAGTCCATTAAGTCCAGTATATAGCATGACATAGCCTTCTGCTCTTTCAGCTGAATATGACTGCAGGCCTGAATAGACTGGGAACCACAAATGGCACACACTCCTCTTGACACACAGAGAACAAGTTCAAAGAACACACTTTAAGATATCTTTGTTTGGACATCATGCACAAAGATCATAGACTTTTCACCTCTGAAACTTTTCTGAACTATCACAAGTATCTTTGTTCACAGTGTAAAAGCCCGCTCCTTCGCTTTATGAGTCTGAGTCAGCTATTCTGATCTGATTGCCAGATCAGCCTCATTGTCCAAACTCAAGTTCTGGCTCCACTCTGCCGTTATGTTGCCATGGTGATAAACACTGCGTTGGGGGGTGCCCTGGTCTGCGGTCAGCGTTTGACTGGTGAGGAAGGGTAGGTGGTGAGGAAAGTACTGTCCTGTACCACCCTCAGCCCACTGACCCATGCCCTGGTCAGTGGAGTAGTGGCTATAGAGGGGGTAACTGTAACCCAGGTGCCCAGGGTAGGTTTTGGAGGACATGGGCAGATGGACCGGGGACACTCTGTAGTCCTGGGGCATGGCTGGAGCCAAGGTGTGGTGGTGGTGAGGGTGACCCATGTCCCTAACAGGGACAGGTCTGGTAGTCTCGTGCCCAGGGACAGTGGCTACATCTGGAACATGAGACTCATAGCTGCGCCTGCCTTCGCCATCCTCCACTATAGTGGAGGGAGAGGGAAGTCTGCCATACTCAACCGATCTGGAGAGAATGAGAAATATGGAGCGGTTACTGATATGAACTGTTAGTTGTTGTTGCCATCATGACATCAACCCACATATGAAATCAGTCACTCTCTGACTCCACTTTTTCATGCACAGTATGGAGGTGTACACTTCTTGTATCATAGATACACTTCTTGTATCATAGATGGCCTGTTAAGTATAGCCCTGAGTCACTGAGTTTTCTATTGGCATAATGGGTGCTGTTTCTGCATATGTTAGTTCTCGTGTGGGTGTGCAGGCTGTTAGAGTGACTCTCTAAATGGGGATTCACCAGTCTGTGTGGTGTGTCAGCCTTGGGTTTCCTCTAAAAAAAGGGAAGTCAAGGTGTGATTTACAACGTGTGAGTGTGTGCCCGTGTGTGTCCTTGGTGGTTGTACAGTACCTGTATGGTTGGTAGGACATAGATGCAGGGCCAGGCACCATCTGCTCCTCAGTGCTGTAGTCCTGTCTGTGGTCGTGGAGCTCCAGTAGTTCAGTGTGCAGGCTGTGGCTCTGGGACGGGTCCTGTTTCAAGGCCCAGGGGGACAAGAGATCCTCCTTATCCGAAACCACGATCTCTATCCTCTGTTCCTCTGGCTCACAGTCTAATTTTGCCCTCTGGAGGTCTGTAAGGGAAAAGGTTTTACATCAATGAGACTGCCAATAGGCCTATGGGCTGGCAACCATTTACATTATAACAATGTCATATATTGTTGAGAAATAAATATGTTTCTATTGATTGGGACCTGGGGGACTTTTGTTTCCTGGGTCTTTGTCTTGTTTGGCTTTCTTTGTAGCATTCCCAAGACTCTTGTTGGATCGACACCTATGGGGAAAACATTATATGTAAAAAAAAAAAAAAAAAAAAAAAGAAGAAGAAGAAGAAGAAAAAAAAACAAATCCTCACACGCACAAAGTGTTATAGTTCTAATAATACCTACCTCTTGCTATGAGTACGGGTATTCTCCCCTTTGAATCCCTTAGCAAAGGGATTGTGGTCAATCTTCAGTTTAGCGATCTGAAAGCAGGAGTAGAGATGAAGAAATCAGATTAGGTTACACTCATTACCGAAAAGTGAATTATATGGGTGTGCCGTTTGTATGTTCTTAATACGTGAGTTTGTAGACGGACCTTAGTGTTCTGGTAGGCGGTGACTGCAGTGAAGGAGGTCTCAGGGAAGGAGAAGGAATGGAAGTGTCCCCAGCGCACACTGTACAGACTGTCAGCCTGGACCACAGAGAAGCGTGGGATGTAGCGATGCATAGAGTGCAGGATGATCTGGGGACAGAACAGATACAACACAGGTTGAGTCAACTAACAGCATTGTTTATAGACAGTACTGTATACTCTCAGACTGTGAGGCGTTGAGGGCTGGGGATCCAGTAGAGAAGGAGATGGGTTTACTTACATGGCCGTGCTGGTCCAGAGTATTGTTGGTGAGTTTGAGCTTGAGGAAGGACACAGATTGCTTCATCCAGTAGGAGCCCAGAGCGGGGGAGTCTGGATGCACGTATGTCCGACAGGGGAGCTGGGGCTCGGCTTTCCCAGCCATGTCCCACTGGCCCTTATTCCACTACAGAGACAGAGAGCAGGGGGGGGGGTATGGGGTTTACCCAGGTGTGAAACAAACTCCAAGACAAGACTCAACATGTAGACACTCCACAAAAACTCACATATCCTCAGTCTCTACAGTGAGATATGTAAGGAATCTGTGGTGCATATTACTGCATGTTTGAGTAGTATCATGTAGGTATGTACATAATTGCATATAATCGACCAACATATATACATTAACTGATACAACAAAGGGAAAACTCTCTCTCGATGGAGCCATTTGGTCAAAAGCAACAGTGTACTGAGGGGAGGGCCAGTGGATGCACGGAGGGGTGATTGCTCCCCATTCACTTTGATTGGAGCGGGGGGAGGTGGAGGTGGGGTGCTAAATGGGGGTAGAAAAACAGGAAGTAGTAATGGTCTTTGATATGCAGTGTGTGTGGTGATTGGCTGGGTGTGGGCGGGTCACCATCTGGACTGTGTGCAGATTGACTGCTGGGGTTGCATACACAAGCATGTCTTCTACTTAATCTCCTTACGTTTCCTTTTAAAACAATGCCTGACTATATTCCAAACTGTGATACGTTTGGGTTATCAATAGGACCTTTCCCAATATTAATGTATTGGAATGTGTATATAAGACATGATATATGAGGCATTATAGAAGGATGGTGGACATGTTCTTACCCTGTATCTGAAGTTGTCCACAGGAACCATATCCACCATGAGGACATAGTTGGCATAGGGTTGGAGTCCAGATAGACTGATGTTGCAGTGGGGAAACATCCTCCTGATACACACAATCCCACACAAATGGTATTATCCTGACCACAACCCTATGCTCTCTCATTCTTACACGAGACAAAAAAGAATACTAGCAGCATAGACAGTTTCACTGCATTGCTAAAGCTACAGTATTGCATGAAATGTGGGTGACAAGTACTCCTCAGTGCACACACGTCCATTGTGTTTTGTAGATTTACATATGAGAAATGAATGGGATATGGGAGACATGGGATGTGCTCAGTCAATGACTTGTTTGGAGATGGCACCAGCCATGATGATAATGATTGATTTGACAACAACAACAGTATCTTACCGGCCATGTTTGGTGATGATCATCTCAGTCGCTAGGTTGTGGAAGGACTTCCAGAGGTCAGACTTCTCCAGGGTCATCCTGACGTTTCCCTGGTGGTAGGGGTCAGCTGTAGGGGGGGACGGGGTCATCATGTTGCTGTTGCTCTCTTGCCAGAACACTGACTCACTAATCTAGTAAAGGTTGAAAAAGTGATGCTTACCAGATACATGCTGCATTGCCTGCAGAGTCCACTACAATGGTCAAAGAGAATATCAAGATCAAATTCCTTATCCAAATCTGTGTGTTGTTCTCGCTAGAATCTAACCCACATCACTGTGAGAATACTATGAGAGGGGCTGTGGACTTAGTGGTGGCCCTTGGATTATGGAAAGTTTAGTATCAATCTCTTCTTCTTCTTCTTCTTCTTCTTCTTCTTCTTCTTCTTCTTCTTCTTCTTCTTCTTCTTCTTCTTCTTCTTCTTCTTCTTCTTAGTAGTATTGATCTCAAAACTTTCCTATCTGTATCCTCAGCTTGTGGAGTAAGAATGACTGACCTCTGGAGTTCATTAGTGAGCCCAGAAGGGGAAGGGCCTGTGAGAATAAAGTAGGTGTGGTTACAACAGAGTGGTGTGGGGGGCCTTTGCCTGATTTCTAATCTTTAAAGTGTCCCATCAGGCGAGGGGGTGGGCATACTGTGGTGTTGTGCAGAGATAGCTGCCTGAACATGACCTTTTGTTTTCAAACTGTAAATGCATCCAACAAGTTTGTAGAGTCACAAGCTTGATGTAGTCATTGCATGCTAAGAATATTGGACTAAATACTACACTTTTGACAATTTGTTCAAATACTTATGACTTCTTCAAATGGGGGGACTAGATACATTAAGTACTTTCATTTCTGAATGGTAAAACATATAAAACTCAGCAAAAAAAGAAACGTCCTCTCACTGTTAACTGCGTTTATTTTCAGGTTCTTGCTGTGAGATGTTACCCCACTCTTCCACCAAGGCACCTGCAAGTTCCCGGACATTTCTGGGGGGAATGGCCCTAGCCCTCACCCTCTGATCCAACAGGTCCCAGACATGCTCAATGGGATTGAGATCCGGGCACTTCGCTGGCCATGGCAGAACACTGACATTCCTATCTTGCAGGAAATCACGCACAGAACGAGCAGTATGGCTGATGGCATTGTCATGCTGGAGGGTCATGTCAGGATGAGCCTACAGGAAGGGTACCACATGAGGGAGGAGGAGGTCTTCCCTGTAACGCACAGCGTTGAGATGGCATGCAATGACAACAAGCTCAATCCGATGATGCTGTGACACACCGCCCCAGACCATGACGGACCCTCCACCTCCAAATCGATCCCGCTCCAGAATACAGGCAATGTAATGCTCATTCCTTCGACGATAAACGCGAATCTGACCATCATCCCTGGTGAGACAAAACCGTGACTTGTCAGTGAAGAGCACTTTTTGCCAGTCCTGTCTGGTCCAGCGACGGTGGGTTTGTGCCCATAGGCGACGTTGTTGCCGGTGATGTCTGGTGAGGACCTGCCTTACAACAGGCCTACAAGCCCTCAGTCCAGCCTCTCTCAGCCTATTGCGGACAGTCTGAGCACTGATGGAGGTATTGTGCATTCCTGGTGTAACTCGGGCAGTTGTTGTTGCCATCCTGTACCTGTCCCGCAGGTGTGATGTTCGGATGTACCGATCCTGTGCAGGTGTTGTTACACATGGTATGCCACTGCGAGGATGATCAGCTGTCCATCCTGTCTCCCTGTAGTGCTGTCTTAGGCGTCTCACAGTACGAACATTGCAATTTATTGCCCTGGCCACATCTGCAGTCCTCATGCCTCCTTGCAGCATGCCTAAGGCACGTTCACGCAGATGAGCTGGGACCCTGGGCATCTTTCTTTTGGTGTTTTTCAGAGTCAGTAGAAAGGCCTCTTTAGTGGCCTAAGTTTTCATAACTGTGACCTTTATTGCCTACCGTCTGTAAGCTGTTAGTGTCTTAATGACCGTTCCACAGATGCTTAATTGTTTATGGTTCATTGAACAAGCATGGGAAACCCTTTACAATTAAGATCTGTGAAGTTATTTGGATTTTACTAATTATCTTTGAAAGACAGGTCCTGAAAAAGGGACGTTTCTTTTTTTGCTTACTTTTGGTCATGTAGTGTATATATATATATATATATATATATATATATATATATATATATATATATATATACAGTGAGGGGAAAAAGTATTTGATCCCCTGCTGATTTTGTACGTTTGCCCACTGACAAAGAAATGATCAGTCTATAATTTTAATGGTAGGTTTATTTGAACAGTGAGAGACAGAATAACAACAACAAAATCCAGAAAAACGCATGTAAAAAATGTTATAAATTGATTTGCATTTTAATGAGGGAAATAAGTATTTGACCCCCTCTCAATCAGAAAGATTTCTGGCTCCCAGGTGTCTTTTATACAGGTAACGAGCTGAGATTAGGAGCACACTCTTAAAGGGAGTGCTCCTAATCTCAGTTTGTTACCTATATAAAAGACACCTGTCCACAGAAGCAATCAATCAATCAGATTCCAAACTCTCCACCATGGCCAAGACCAAAGAGCTCTCCAACGATGTCAGGGACAAGATTGTAGACCTACACAAGGCTGGAATGGGCTACAAGACCATCGCCAAGCAGCTTGGTGAGAAGGTGACAACAGTTGGTGCGATTATTCGCAAGAACTGTCAACCTCCCTCGGCCTAGGGCTCCATGCAAGATCTCACCTCGTGGAGTTGCAATGATCATGAGAACGGTTAGGAATCAGCCCAGAACTACACAGGAGGATCTTGTCAATGATCTCAAGGCAGCTGGGACCATAGTCAAGAAGAATACAATTGGTAACACACTATGCCTTGAAGGACTGAAATCCTGCAGCGCCCGCAAGGTCCCCCTGCTCAAGAAAGCACATATACAGGCCCGTCTGAAGTTTGCCAATGAACATCTGAATGATTCAGAGAAGAACTGGGTGAAAGTGTTGTGGTCAGATGAGACCAAAATCAAGCTCTTTGGCATCAACTCAACTCGCCGTGTTTGGAGGAGGAGGAATGCTGCCTATGACCCCAAGAACACCATCCCCACCGTCAAACATGGAGGTGGAAACATCATGCTTTGGGGGTGTTTTTCTGCTAAGGGGACAGGACAACTTCACCGCATCAAAGGGACGATGGACGGGGCCATGTACCGTCAAATCTTGGGTGAGAACCTCCTTCCCTCAGCCAGAAAATTGAAAATGAGTCGTGGATGGGTATTCCAGCATGACAATGACCCAAAACACACGGCCAAGACAACAAAGGAGTGGCTCAAGAAGAAGCACATTAAGGTCCTGGAGTGGCCTAGCCACTGCCAAGCGTCAGCCTCGAAACCTTAATGACTTGGAGAAGATCTGCAAAGAGGAGTGGGACAAAATTCCTCCTGAGATGTGTGCAAATCTGGTGGCTAACTACAAGAAATGTCTGACCTGCCAACAAGGGTTTTGCCACCAAGTACTAAGTCATGTTTTGCAGAGGGGTCAAATACTTATTTCCCTCATTAAGATGCAAATCAATTTTTGACATGCGTTTTTCAGGATTTTTTTGTTGTTGTTCTGTCTCTCACTGTTCAAATAAACCTACCATTAAAATTATAGACTGATCATGTCTTTGTCAGTGGGCAAATGTACAAAATCAGCAGGGGATCAAATACTTTTTTCCCTCACTGTATATACACTACATGACCAAAAGTATGTTGTCGAACATCTCATTCCAAAATCATGGGCATTAATATGGAGTTCGTCCCCCTTTTGCTGCTATAACAGCCTCCGCTCTTCTGTGAAGGATTTCCACTAGATATTGGAACATTGCTGTGGGGACTTGCTTCCATTCAGCCACAAGAGCATTAGTGAGGTCGGGCACTGATGTGCGATTAGGCCTGGCTCGCAGTCGGCGTTCCAATTCATCCCAAAGGTGTTCGATGGGGCTGAGGTCAGGGCTCTGTGCAGGCCAGTCAAGTCCTTCCACCCCAATCTTGACAAACCATTTCCATATGGACCATATGTGGGCATCGTCATCCTGAAACAGGAAATGGCCTTCCCCAAATTGTTGCCACAAAGTTGGAAGTACAGAATCGCCTAGAATGTCATTGTATGCTGTAGCGTTAAGATTTCCCTTCAATGGAACTAAGGGGCCTAGCCCGAACCATGAACAACAGCCCCAGACTATTATTCCTCCTCCACCAAACTTTATGGAGGCGAGCTTTACACCACTCCAGCCGAAGTTTGGCATTGCGCATGGTGATCTTAGACTTGTGTGCGGCTGCTCAGCCATGGAAACACATTTCATGAAGCTCCCGACTAACAGTTCTTGTGCTGACGTTGCTTCCAGAGGCAGTTTGTAACTTGGTAGTGAGTGTTGCAACCGAGGACAGAAGATTTTTACGCGCTACGTGCTTCAGCACTCGGTGGTCCCATTCTGTGAGCTTGTGTGGTCTACCACTTCGAGGCTGAGCTGTTGTTGCTCCTAGACTCCTCCACTTCACAATAACAGCACTTACAGTTGATCGGGGCAGCTCTAGCAGGGCAGAAATTAAATTTGATGAACTGACTTGTTGGAAAGGTGGCATCCTATGATAGTGCCACGTAGAAAGTCACTGAGCTCTTCAGTAAGGCCATTCTACTGCCAATGTTTGTGTATCGAGATTGCATGGCTGTGTGCTCGATTTTATACACCTGTCCGCAATGGATGTGGCTGAAATAGCCGAATCCACTAATTTGAAGGGGTGTCCACATACTTTTGTATATATAGTGTGTATATATATGAAAATACCCTGTAATAAAAGGTGACATTCTGTACTGTCGGCTCATATGAAACATTTCATCTAAAAAATTAAATAATTATGAAAACATGGGCTCTACTAGCTGACCTGTGTTCATGGATCTAAGAGCCCTGCTCGGTTTATATTCTTCAAACATATCAGACATGTACTCGGGTCCTAAACCATTCAAAGATTTATAAACTAAAAGCACCACTTTGAAATCAATTCTGTAACTGACTGGATGCCAATGTAAAGATTTAAGAACCGGAGTGATGTGCTCCGTTCTCTTGGTCCTGGTTAACATTCTAGCAGCTGCATTCTGTACTCGGGTTCTAAACCATTCAAAGATTTATAAACTAAAAGCACCACTTTGAAATCAATTCTGTAACTGACTGGATGCCAATGTAAAGATTTAAGA